GGTGAGGGGGCTTAGGGATGAGACCCATTATCTGGAGGCTTTGAACTCAGACCTTGGAAGAACAGATGCCCTCAGACCTCACCGCTGTCTGCCCTTCTCTAAAGGCTGCAGATGCTAAAAATACCCCGGCCACCTGCTGCCCGGGGAGGCAGCACATCACTTGCTGTCCAGCACCTGAATCCAGGCCAGGCCTGGCCTAACCACAGACCCATTGGGTTACATTCGCTTCTTCCCACCCGGGCAGCTATTCACAGCCAGGGCTGAGAGTCGCCAGGGCTGGAGGTTCCCGGAGGAAGAGGTTGTCAAAGTCAAAGGTCCTGAGGTGCTGACCTGGTGTGGGGTGATCAGAAAGGAAGGTGTTACTAGGGGTATTGGTGGGAGGCTGCAGGGACAGGGAAGTGGCTCCTGTGGTCACAACAGGCAACGGCTTTACTGTATAAAATAAGGTCATCCACAGATCCACAGATCAACCCACCCAACTGCTGTCCTATTACCCCAGGCCACCAGATGTCACTGTTACAAGGAGCATGCATATTCATGGCCAGATCCCGGGACGGGGACTAAATTTATGGAGATCATTCAAGTTGTGGGTGCTCAGGGACACACGGGGGAAATCCATTTCCCGCTTCCAGTTCTTATGAATTAGATCCCACTCCTGTGACCAAAATCAGTCCGACTTCCAGAGTACAGCCAAGAAATGTCCAAGATCGGCTCACCTTCACTGTCAACACAGTGCCTTGAGTCAGAAATGAGAGGAAAGACCGAATTTTTAATTTACTCTTGGTTAAAACACATTGACAGCCACACATTTATGGTGAATGTAAAGTGGCATGTCACAGCATGGGGTTGATCACATCTGAAAACATGGGGAACGTACCTGGGGTGGGGGGAACACTGCATTACAAGGAACTGCTGCTTCACAACGACTTGATCCAATCAGTGAAAAATACAAACAGGACCAGGAAGCACAAAACCACTGAGACTGAGCGGCTACATAAGGACAGTGAACAGACTCAGGTGGTCAGAAGTAACCTTGGGCTAATTTTTGGGGAGCATGAAAACTTCACAAATGAAGTAATTTTCACAACTTTGCAGGCTCCTGGAAATGTCTAACTTAGCTTGGAATTCACTTTGAGTAAAAAGAGCACTTTTAAGTGGACTGGGACCTCGTTCACTGAAAAGCCTCATGGGCTTAGGCAGGTGGTCTAAACCCTCTAAGCCCAGTTTCCTGGTGAATAAACTGAACTCTCTATGGCTCCTTCAAGCAGTGTCAGAGTCTAGGATTCCAGGTGTGGCCCTGAGAAGCTCCTGTGCATGGGGAAGGGAGATGTACCGAAATTACAATGGGATGTCACCCAAGATCACCTCAGGGACACAGATAAGGACTTTGTGAATTCAGAGACCCTCCCTACTGTTACCTTCTGGAACTAATGTTGCAACAGGATCAACAAATCTGATCCTTTAAGAGCCAGGAGGTGGCCAACCAAATATTTAAGAAGTCAACTTGATCTGTATTAATACAAGCGTCTAAGGAAGCTGGTTTCCAAAAACAAATGATAACCGCTACCAACCGACCTCTGTAAGTGTATGAATTACTCAAGAATGAAGGATTTGGGGATGGGGTTGCAGCTCCGTGGTAGAGTGCTTGCCTAGCAATGTATGAGGCGCTGGGTTTGATCCTCGGCACCATATAAAAATAAATGAAAAAAAAAATAAAGGCATTGTGTCCACTACAACTAAAAATTAAAAAAAAAAAGAATGAAGGATTTTCTGTAGTGGGGAAGGGAGGCAGCTGGTGTACATGTCTAGCCACTATTTACAGAATGGCAACTTTAGGACAAAGGACAGAGAGAGAGGAAGTTTGAAAGGATGTTGAGTGTTTCTCCAGGAGTTACCCACCAGCTGTCAACACACATGTAGGAAAATGTCTGAAAAGTAGAGACTAAGTTTGTAATAGTGACCTGAGGGTTAATTCTTTCTCTTTTGTGGTACTTGGGATTGAACCCAGGGCCCTGGGCATGCAAGGCAGGCACTCTACCAGCTGAGCTCTATCCCTAGCCCCTCTTTTTTCTTTTTAGATGGGATCTTGCTATGTTGCCCAGGCTGGTCTCACACCTATGGACTCAGGCCATCCTTCTACCTCAGCCTCCCCAGTGACTGGGACTATAGGTGTACATCACCATGCCTGGCTTTATGTTTTTAATTTATCTTAATTTTCCATTTTCAGCATTGAATGTGTATCAACAATTTTTTTTTCAGTGGTGGGATCAAACTTGGGGTCACACGTGCTGGACAGGTATTTACCACCCCCAATCCCTGTAAAATTTTTTTTTTGGTGCAAACACACTCTAACAGGGTAATACACCAAACTGTGATGAACCCTTTAAGGTTGATTAATGGATGTGATTTATTTCCTACAGTGAAGTGGTGGTGAGAGATGAACTATTGTTAGGTCTGGGGTCTGCAGGACGTCCAGGCAGAACTAGGAGCAGGGGAAAGAGAGAGCAAGTAAAGAGCCTTCAAGAGGCAGTGGGTGGAGAGGATTGGCCCAGGTGCCCAACTACACCTGCCAGGTGCTACCTATCACCTGGAGGGTGTGTAGCTAAAATTAAAGATCTGCCCATGATTCTCTTTATAGTTGATTTCTCTTTACAGTCAAACTCCTAGCGAAACAAACATAAAGAGAGCACCTGTATTTTAATAATAATTAAAAATAAAGAAAAACAGGGCTGGGCTGTAGCTCAGTGGTAGAGCACTTGCCTAGCACCTGCGAGGCACTAGGTTCAATCCTCAGCACCACATAAAAATAAACAAATAAAATAAAGGCATTCTGTCCATCTACAACTACAAATTAAAAATAAATAAATAAATACAAAGGATGCTTCTCCAAACTTTTTTGCCTCCATCTAACCTTTCTTTGACTAGATTTTCTTTTACAATTCTCACAGTGCAAGTTCCTCTTAGAGCCACCTAGTTATTTTAGGAGCAGTGGCGCTGACACAATCATATACAAGAAAACATCATGATGTAGACTGCCTTCAGCGGGTGACGCTGACATCTGTCTCAACGTTACCTGGAGAGCAGCGCTTGTAAGGCACACGAGAGCATCGACAATGTGGAAAGGCGCTGCCTGTTTCCAGGCCTGTTTGAATACTCGCCATCCTACAGTATAAGCTATTCATCACCTGCTGCAAATTATTTTATATATTCATTAAAGCTTGTCTTCCATGGCCTGTTCCCAGGCAACAAATGTGATGGGGAGAATAGAGAAGGCACTGGAGAAAATGATCCTCAAGAGCCCAGGTAAAATTTAGACGTTCAATAAATTGAAATGGTCACCTCCTAGTAGCCGAAGATTCGGAGGCTCTAAGAGAAACCCTCTGAAAGTGGTGCCTTGTCTCCTTAATTCTAAGAAGCTGTCAAGCATAAGACGTATTTTTGAAAGCAAATACCCACTGCCAACTAAATCATGACACAACTGTAAAATGCACCCTAATTTTCAAAAGGTTAAAATGTGGGAGGAGAACCTCTCTTAGAATCAATGACATATGGCTTTTCCTCTGTCAGCCGCATGTCCTCCCCCTGCCCCCCAGCCTCCTTCACTGTCAGCCAGGGACACCAACCCTTCTCCCACCTCACTAAATTGTGAAAACATTTAGATCCGTCTCTGCTTGGCAGCAGAGTGTATCCTCTCCAAGTCCCCATCAGCCTATAATCTCCTTTTCTCTCCCATTCACTCCCTGGTTGAGGGCAGTCACGTTTCCAGGACTGCCCCAGGGCTTGCTCTCCTCTGTTGAACCCTGGATTGAGCTGGGTCAGCAGAGAGCAGAGGACTGGAAACACTGCGTGATCCCTCCAGAAAGCTGCAGCCAGGTTCTCTCATTTAGAGACAAGGTCTCTAAATAAAATCATTTAGTGCCTTGCTTTTGCTAAAGCTGGCTTTCAACTCTCGATCCTCCTGCCTTAGTCTCCTGAGCCGCTGGGATTACAGGCATATGTCACCTCACCCATAGAGAAATCTTTTACAAATAAACTTTTCAAGTTGAGGAGTAACATATATACTGAAAAACACACAATTTGTAAGCATATGGCCAAATGAATTGTCACAAATTATAACTACCGCTCAAACTAGAAAAAATGGAATGCTATCCCCATCTCAGAAGCCGCTGCGAGACTTCTCCCCATCATTACCCGCACCTTCCTCCCACAGGCAAACTCTATCCTCATTTCTAACACCATCCATTAGACTTGCAGGTTGAGGACCCTGAATTCAAAAGTCTAAAAGCTGAAAAGATTGTGGAGCTATTGGATTTTCAGATGAGGAATGCTTACCCACCAAGTCTCTGCAAATTTTCCTCTGAAATCAGAGACATCCAACTCTGGTCCCAAACCTTTCAGTCAAAGGATGCTCGACCTGCTTTTGAAATTTACACAAATAGAACCACACAGTATATATTCTTTTGGTCTGGTCTTTTCCACTTACCGTTATGTGTGTGAAGTTCTTCCGTGTTGTTATGAGCAGCACAAGGTTAATCTTCTCTGTATACAATAGTCCATTCTATGAATAGACCATATGCCTATGTATGCGTTTAGGTTGTGTCCAGTTAGCGGTTATTATGAACAGTTGCTGCCATTTTGGTGCACATATCAGCCATTTGTGTGAGGTCAGTATCTAGGAGTCAAATCGCTGGGTTACAGGGTTCAGCTACTTGGTTAAGCACCGAGAGATGACTCCCAGGTGACTACAGAGTGGACTCTCCCAAGGGAGACACCACCAGTACGGCCACCCCTGGGGCTACTCAGCCCACAGACCCTTTTTTCCTCCTGCCTGTTGAACACCTGGAGTATGAATGCTAAGACCCTCACGTCTGCCTGACTTCACTTGCCAGTACAAAAGGAGGGGGAGAGAGGAGGGGTTTATATTGGCACCCAAAAGGGACTATTGAGACCAAAGGGGAAGCATCAGGTTTTCTGGAATAAAGAATTAATGGGACACTCTCTACAGTATTCTATAATAGTTGGCTTTATTAATGTGGAACAGTTAATGCCAGCCAAAAAAGAAGGTATAATTCAATGTGATTATTACAAGTTACAATTTATTTCCCTCTGCTTTTTTTTCCCTCCAGTGCTAGGAATCAAACCCAGGGCCTTGCACATGCCAGGCAAGTGCTCCACCACCGAGCTATCCCCACCCCCAGCCCCCAGCCCCCAGCCCTCTCTTTTTCTTAAACTTCTATTTAATGAATAGCAACCACTATGACAACAATGACAAAAACTTAGCACCTTATGACCAACTTGAAACAGGCTGTTCAGGAAGAGCAATGAACAAAGAAAGCAGAGACTGGAATGTTGGCTCCACGCCGGCTCATCGGGCAGTGTTCTTGGCTCTGAAAAATTCACTGCAACTTCTTCCCTAAGCGGGTTCCTTTGTGATGCATCCTCCTGAGCTCTACCCACGACTGCCACAGAAGCAGGCCTGGGATCAGAACCCACACACCGTTAAAGAACACGAGATAGACCCAAAAGTGGAGCCAATCGTCGGTGTCGAGGTTGGGGCTCCCGATGAGCCACTCTGGGGAGAAGGTCATCCAGTCACCGTACAACTCACACACGCACAGCGTGATCTGCAGGAAATGCCTGTCCCAGGGAAGAAGCGTGGAGTCAAACTATAGCTGAGCACCGCTCACACCCTGGATCACGACATCCCTTCTTCAAGGGCAGCGTCCATGCGGCCTGGCCTGTGCTACAGAAAAGCTCTCTGAGCTGGACCCCGCTGGGTTTGGGTAGTGCTCCTTTGATGGGCGCGTCAAAGCCATCGGTGCAAAGACTGGGTCCTGCCTCGGAGAAGCTGCCTTGCCCTTTCTAGCAGACCTTTCTCAGTGAATAAGGACTCTTAGGTCTCTCGGACTATTCTGAAGAAGATTTATGGCCCAGCAAAGAAGGATCTGAGTCTTGTCATGAGCCACAATTTCATCTGGCAAAAAAAGGGGCCTCTTCCTCAGTGTGTCGTGGAGACTAAATGAGATACATAGATAGTGGCCGAGCACTGTGTCTGGCACACGGTCATCAGTGACGCAAGGATTCTGAGTCTCTCAGATAACAAACGCAGGGGTGCATGTGATACGTCTGCAACCGTGGTCCTGGGGTCCAAAATATGGTAAGGCACCAAGGAGAAATTTAATTTTTATTGTTAACTATTGCTATAAAATTGGGTGAGGAAAAGTAAATTAATGACCTTGGAATCCCCTTTCAAATCTGAGGCTTTATGATTAAATTTTAAATCATACTTCTTCAAGTAGAAAATAGAGTGCAGTTGTACCAATTTGACACTGTTTGAGGGCATCATCCCCTCTATTTACCCAGGTCACTTTGTCTCTCAGAAGGAGAGAACAAAAGGGAGGGAAGGAGGAGAATTAGAGTCTCAGAGTCTGCTCAGAGGACTCCTCCTCCTTCCACTTCCCCAACCTGCTTCTAAAAAGATCTCTTATTTATCTTTTTGGTATGAGAGACTGAACCCAGGGGCACTTTACCACTGAGCTACATGCCCAGCCCTTTTTATTTTCAGACAGGGGCTTGCTAAATGGTTGAGGGTTTTGCTAAGTTGCTGAGGCTGGCCTTGAACTTGTGATCCTCCTGTTTCAGCCTCCTGAGTCACTGGGATTATAGGTGTGCACCACCACACCTGGTCTCCTATTTATCTTACATGTCTAACTTAGAAGTATACAAAAGAATTTAATTTATGTCAAGTGAGAAGTGCTTTCTAGAATGATTTGGGGAAAAGGGGAAAATATTACCCCTTTATTCTCCAAAATATTGGTGGCCAATCAGCTAACACTGTTAACACCACTCTTGCTTTCCTAGAGTTAGGGTCATTAACAGAATTTTATTTCTCTTACTTTAATTTTTTTTTTTCTGTACCAGGGATTGAACTCAGGGACACTTAACCTCTGAGTCATATCCACAGCCCTTTTTAATATCTTATTTAGAGACAGGGTCTTACTGAATTTTTAGTGCCTCACTTTTGCTGAGACTGGCTTTGAACCTGCGATCCTCCTGCCTCAGCCTCCTGAGCCTCTAGAATTACAGGTATGAGCCCCGGTGCCTGGCTCTCATATTTTTTTATTTGAATGGTCCCAAATTATCCCAGTGCACTGTGACTCTCATCTAATACTGCACAATTTTCATTTGTATTCTACTTTTTATCTTACAAATAAATTTGGTCACAACCTGCTCCAAATATTACTTTGGCACTGGGGACAGACATCTCTTCTCTTTTTGAAAGGATAGAAGAACACTTACCGATAATATTTCTCTTTGACTATGGCATAAATGAGGAACAATGCTAGAAACCCATCCAGGACAGCAGTCAGAATTTCCAAAGACACGATGGTTGGGTCAAAATAAAGCCATCTTGCATCAGCTTTGCCATATTCTTTCCCTAAAGATAAAATACCTGTTGTTAGTCATCTGGCAAACACTTTTTTTTTTTTTTATGACAGTTAATGAAAATGACCCCTTTCCCTAAAAAAGGAGATCAAAAGAATACTTGCTGTTCTCTTTACATTCTTCACAACAACAACATAATAACAATAGGTTATAGTTGTAAACTAATTTAGTTTCCAAAGTGACTACACAGATGACCCCTCTCTACCCTTGAGCCTTTATAAGTAACAGAATCCTGTATTAATCCAACATGGTCAGTCTTTAATAATGAACTGTGTAGATGCATTGTATTTCCTTATCTCAATATTTCAACATAGCTGGGTACAATGGTGCACACCTGTAATCCTAGCATTGGAGGATGAGGCAGGAGGATTGCAAGTTCAAAGTCAACCTCAGCAACTCAGTGAGGCTCTAAGCAACTTAGTGAAACAGGGCTGGGGATATGGCTCAGTAGTTAAGCATCTCTGGGTTCAATCCCCAGCACCCACCCCCGCCACCCCAAAAAAAGGGAAGTTCTGATATCTTATTGGTCTAAGCAGTGCAAACCTCTAGAGAGTCTCATAATGGTCAGAGGAAGGATCCCTTGGGGCCAGGCAAAGGTTTCTCATGAAAAGCTGTCCTGAAGGAAAAAGGACAATAAACAGGGTTCTCTATTTAATGAGATAACACACAAGATTATCTGCCAGGAGGTCCCCCATAAGGCCATGCCAAGTCATCCAGCCTGTCCTTAGCTGACCCGATTCTGAAATAACAGTTCTGAGGGGAAAGCCATGGGACACTGACCGGAAAAGTTCCCCCTGAATTTACGCATATGTGACAGGTGAGGTGAATCAGCCCGTGCAGCCCACATCTAAGGAAATGCCACTGAAGTAAAATGCCAGTGCTTCAGGGACCAAGAGATGAGTGAGTATGAGACCTTAAAAACCAAACAACTCCAAGCCACCATTCATTCCCTCTTTAACTCAACAACTCTCCTCTGGGCTCCCGGGAGGCTCTGCGCTAGGCCTGAGGATGCAGCAGCAACCAGGACGCCCGTCTGCCCATGCGAGACCCACGTTGGAGAGCAACACCTGCAAGTGATGGTCAGAGAGGGGACCCGCACCAGAGAGGCATAAGGGGCAATTCCCTCGACAGATGTTCTGATCACTTCCTGTCACCTTGCTGGGAAGGAGGGAGTCCCACTCGGCGGGTCACAGAGATGGCCAAACACACCTGGCGCTGGACTGATGAGGAGGGTGGCCATTGAGGAGTCCCATTCCCTCAGAGCCTGAGCAAGAGTCACTGCGTCTTTAGGACGACATGGAGGGTCACCTGGGAACACAGTGAACTTCCAGGGGCCATGGAAGCAGGGTGGTAGTGACAGGAAGGTGGGTTATGTCCCGGTTCCCCTGAGAGGTGGCGATTGGCCGGCAGGAGCTGAGCCTCCTCCCCAGGGAGAGGCAGGCAAGACCCGGTTCCGTGGTCAGGAGGGCCGCTGGCTCAGGAAACTCCTCGGGAGGCACAGGGGGTGGGGGCCTTGCAATGTGGCCCTTGGAGGCCCTTGACTGATGTTGAGGCACAGAGTATGGAATTTTGATTTCAGGCCTTACGCCACCAGGGGCACCTCTGACACAGGTGAGGGGTCAGAGTGCTTCAGGGAGGAGCATGCACATGGCCCGGCCCCGGGCTGAGAACAGATGTCTGAAAGGACAGAGGAGAGGGCAAAGCTCAGAGGTCACCGTGAAGAGCTGGGGACGAAGGTGGGCTGCATGGAGCCAGCCCCGCTCTCTCTGTCCTCGGCTTCTCCTCCTGTTGCAGAACTTTGACCTCTCCTTGGCAGTTAAACCAAAGGGGCAAAGAGCGGCATCCAAGAGCACAGTGACCTGGTCATTCCCATTTATTTTGTGATTGACAGCTGGGCTTAGTCAGAGGCTTAAAGGGAAAGATACCAACTAAAGGCCAGAGGAGGTTTCCCTGAGCTGAGCCACTGCTGTGGGCTTGATCAAAGTGGAGATGAGGACCTGTGCACAGCTGGCCTACAGCCTCTGAAGCCACGGGCAGTACACGGGACAGTGCCTGGGAGATCCCGGCCCAGACCCTCTGAACCAGAATCTGAATTTGAGTAAGACTGCCAGGTGACTTTGTGCACTGTGGGGTCCGGGAAAAAGTCCTCACTTTTGACTTGCATGAAAATAAAGGGCACCTTCATTAAAGTTTTTACTTCTCTTTTTATATACAATACCCTTATCTTATTTGATGATGATGATGATGATAATGATGCTGGGGATTGAACCCAGGGCTTTGTGCATACAAGGCAAGCATTCCACCAACTGTGCTATATCCCCAGCCCTTATTTTATTTATTTATTTTTATGTGGCGCTGTCGAGGATCAGACTAGTCTCTCACACGTTAGGCAGGCGTTCTGCCACTGAGCCCCTATTTTATTTATTTTTAGGTGCAGCACCTCACACATGCAAGGCAGATGCTCTACCACTGAGCCACAGCCACGCCCCGAGTTTTTACTTCTCTGAGGTAAACCACGTAAGTGTCAAGATGACTGAGAAAGACTGTGGCTGGCATTCCCACTTCACAGGATTAAGCCAAATTCGAGTGATTTACTTTCTCTGATGGCTGAGCAGCCAGGGCCACAGGTGGTCACATGGCTTCTGACAAAGGGGACCAGAGAGAGGCTCACCAGAGAGGGGCAGCGACTCATCTGGATCCCGCAGCCTCTGGGCTTCACCAGCCCACCTCAAGCCAGGGTGAATGCAAAGGCTCACCACCAAGCTGCTCGGCTGCTTCAGCCTGCCCTGGAACCTGAGCAGCAGGACTCAGGGGCTCAGAGTCCTCCACTGCAGGGGACACAGGCTGCAGAGAGGCCACATTTTGTCTTCAGAAGCACTGACCAACTAACACAACTCTCTGGAGGCTTTCTAACACCAGGGAGAACAGCAGCCCCACAGAGACCCAGGGCTGGAGGCGGTGATGTCAAAGACTGAAAGAAACGGGGTGGGTGGGGTGGAGCCCAGCGGTGCCCCTGGTGTAGCGTGCCAGGGTTTGATCCCAAGCAAGCAAGCAGGCAAAGCCACCAACAACCAGTCACAGACGCAAAATCCGAAACAGTTACCCCGAGCAAGGCAGTTTTACAGGGTGGCCAAGATGCTGCTGCGGGGCTCATGTATTTGCCAGTATGGACACAGTTCATGCAGGGAAGCTGGCACTGACTGGACGCCGGCTGATGTCCACGGGCAGGAAGAAGATGCGGAAAACCTGTCAATAGCTCATCAGGGCGGGAGAAGTCCGAGAAATTATAAGAATCCAAATGGAGATGTACAATAAAAATAAAGTTTTTTTTTTTTTTTTTTTGGTTGGGGAGTTACTGGGGATTGAACTCAGGGGCACTCAACCACTGAGCCACATCCCCAGCCCTATTTTGTATTTTATTTAGAGACAGGGTCTCATTGAGTTGCTTAGTGCCTTGACATTGCTGAGGCTGGCTCTGAACTTGCAATCCTCCTGTCTCAGCCTCCCAAGCTGCTGGGATTACAGGTGTGCACCGCTGTGCATGGCTTGCCCTCACATTTTTAGTTACACATCTTTACTAAGATGTAATTCACAGCCCGCACAACTCCCCTGTTTAGACAGGTTTTATTATAGACACAGATTTGAATCAACACAGTCTAACTTGGAAAAAATAACCCCGGACCCCCGCCCATTAGCAGTCATTCTTCACTTCCCCCAACTCTCCCACCCCACACCCCCAGCCCTCAGCAACCATTCATCTATTATCTGTTTCTACAGAGTCACCCACTGAAACGGAATCCTGCAGTAGGCCTAGGGGCCTGCATTCAATTGACAGCCACCCTTGCAATTAATGTCCTCTGACATTTCAAATGCAAATATTTTTAATTACTTACATAAAGAAGCAATCAAGCCCTCGGAATCAGCAACGTTTCCTACCAAGGAAAAGTAGACAAAAGAGCCTTCCTAGAGAGAAGAAAACGAAGACATGCTCTGGTTTAGCACCACAACCACCGGATGGCACCACAGGACACTTCGCGGTGGCAGCCTCCCCTCCCCTCCCCTCCCCTCCGGTCTCCCCCCTCCCCCATCCAGGGTCCACCTCCTGGTCAGCAGCCTCTGAGACCACACCATCACAGCCTCGGGGGGTGAACCTGGGAGCCTGCCTACCTGGCCCTTCAAAAGGAGTAAGTCGAAAGCTAATGCACAATAAATGTCAGCTTCAACCACTAGCATAATGAAATCAGAGGTGTGTGCCTCTATGGGAAAAATAAGTGAACATTTACACAAAGAAAGTGCTTCACTGTTGTAATAAATAGATAAGCTCTTTAATTATTCCAGGGATCTTAAATCTTTAAGAAAAATCACACAGCAGATCATTTTTTTTTTAACCCTCGAAAAAAAAAAAAATCCAAGCTGTCTCTTATCAAAAATGGCAACTGAATGTCTATAAGAGTTTTTTGTTGTTTTTTTGTTTTGTTTTTTTCCCCTTGCCCTAACTCCCTGCATCAGGACAACTTTTAGGAAGACTTAAAATGTTTTCAGGCTTTCTCTTGGCATTGAAGTGATGAAATATCTACAGTTATTGAGCATTTCTCCATCATTTAAGTGCTTCTTTGCCTAAGCTTTAAAAAAAAAAAAACAACTAGAATTCACTGGGACATCATGTTGCTTGTTTAAATAATTTTGTTGCTGTCAATATAATTTTTTTCCTCATTTCTTTTTATATTTATTTATACTGGGGATTGCACCCAGGGATGCTTTCCCACATCCATCCATCCATTTATTTATTTAGCAGTACTGGGGATTAAACCCCGAAGGTGTTTTTACCACTGAGCTATAGCCCCAGCCCTTTTAATTTTGAGACAAGGTCTCCCTAAATTGCTGAGGCTGGCCTCAATCTTCTGATCCTCCTGCCTCAGACTCCTGAGTCCCTGGGATTACAGGCACATGCCACCATACCAGCTCTTGTTTCTTTTTATCAAAGCAAATCACTTATTTGACATCAAAACCACCTTTGCTTCTCTTCTGCTCACTTTCAGTACCACTTCCACTTTCAGTACCACTTCCTAGATTTACCACTTTCAACCATTTCTGTCCATATCTTCCTGATTATGTATTTACACTGATATTTCTTTAGAGTGCTCATTCTGAAAAGTTGTTGAATTCATATCACCTCCCCTCTGCTTTCCAGGTTTTCCAGTTTTTGATAGCTATGTCATTCTTCAATTAGTTGCCCAAATGTGTAACTTGAGTCATAAACTGGACCTCGGCTCACTCACTCATCAACGTGGCAGTTTCCTGACTTCCTACCACGCAACAGGATCACAAGACCCACCCCACGCTCCTTCCCTCCTCTTCCCATTTCCAACTCAACTTGGGTCCACTTTGTATGGACATTATGGAGATTAGTTATATTTCCACTATGATTATGTAAACATATCTGTCTTCCTGTTTCACCCATCAGTGGATTCTAAAAGTTGAAAAGCATTCAGTAGCATTTACAGTATTGTGATTATAGAAATATCATTCACTGCAGTGGGTCACAATTTCCAGAGATCCAGAACCAATTCCAGTGTCACTTAAGAATAACTGCAAATGGAATATACTTAAAATTTTTAAGAAATATTTTTTAGTCACAGATGGACACAATACCTTCATTTATTTATCTTTATGTGGTGCTGAGGTTTAGGCAAGTGCTCTACCACTGAACCACAACCCCAGCCCCCTAAAAATATATTTTTTTTGTAGTTGTAGATGGACAGAATGCCTTTATTTTAATTTGTTAATTTTTATGTAGTGTTGAGGATTGAACCCAGGGCCTCACACCCTTTGCCACTGAGCCCCAACCCCAGCCCAATACTTTCTTGCTTTATGAATGTCTGAAAATCATGCTATGTATTAGTCTGCTTTACATTTGGGCCATGACTTATTTGTAACCTATTTTTGTTTATCCTAAAGTTTTTGTAATTGCTTTTTTTTTTTCTTTTTTTGGGGGGGTGGATAGGGGTACCAGAAATTGAATCCAGGGGCACTCAACCACTGAGCCACATCCCCAGTCCTATTTTGTATTTTATTTAGAGATAAGGTCTCACTGAGTTGCTTAGTGCCTTGCTTTTGCTGAGGCTGGCTTTGAACTCATGATCCTCCTGCCTCAGCCTCTCAAGAGCTGGGAACTGCTGGGATTACAGGGGTGCACCAACTGTGCCCGGCTCTTTTTTTTGATTGAGAGAAGAAACTTGTCTCTCCAGCTCATGAGTATCTCTGTTTCTTTTCTGTATTAACCTCTGTTAAACAGAGATTCTAGAGCTGGTTTGTATTTTCTTGACATTCTTTGTCACTTAACTGATAAACATGGTTTATCTAAAGATATATAAAAAGTATATTCCTTAAAGGAGATTTATTCATATATGAAGTAAATAACAGTATTTTTACACAAATAAGTATTCTCTAGTTTCCTTATTTTGTAACACTTTATTTTCACCAGCCCATTTTTTATTTTTAGCATTAGCTAGAGTGAAATATCCACGTTGCTTCCTTGGCTTGGCACGGGAGCTTTCTAGACAAAAGTACCACTGTTCTGGCCAGCAGGGGTGATGGGGTCCGGCTGAATCTGACCCTTCCTAGGCCTTAGTCCATCTTTCTATAAAAGAAGGGCTTGCTAAAATTAGACTGTGGATCTCATCCAAAACCTGGATGTGACTTCCACTAGCAACCTCTTTCCCTGGCCCACGAGCCAAACATGGATTCTGACACTTGGTTACGGACCCTGCCTTAGAAGCAACTGAGGGTAAGGGCAAGATGGAGAGAGACCTGGAAATTACTAATGTAGGGACCTACGAGTAGAGAACAAATCTGTTCTCTTTAATCTACCTGTTGAAATTTTACTCAGTTTTCTTTTTTTTTTTTTAATATTTATTTTTCGATTGTAGTTGGACACAATACCTTTATTTTTATTTATTTATTTTTAAGTGGTGCTGAGGATCAAACCCAGGGACTTGAATATGCTAGGCAAGCGCTCTACCACTGAGCCACAATCCCAGCCCCAAAATTTTACTCAGTTTTTAATCTCAGCCCAAAGCCACTTGATTTTTTAAATTTTTATTTGTTCTTTTAGGTATACACGACAGTAGAGGGTATTCTGACATATCATACACACAGGGAGTATCACTTCCCATTCTTGTGATTGTACATGATGTGGAGTTACATTGGTCATGTATTCATATAAGAACATGAGAAAGTTATATCCAGTTCATTCTACTGTCTTTCCTATTTCCATTCCCACTTCCCTTCATTCCCCTTTCTCTAATCCAGTGAACTTCTACCCCACCACACCCACTTATTATGAGTTAGCATCCCCATATCAGGGAGAATATTTGGCCTTTGTTTTTTTGGGACTGACTTATTTCAGTTAGCATGATAGTCTCCAGTTCCGTCCATTTACTGGCAAATGACATAATTTCATTCTTCTTTATGGCTGAGTAATATTCCATATATATGTACTATATTTTCTTTATCCATTCATCTGTTGAAGAGCATCTAGGTTGGTTCCATAGCTTAGCTATTGTGGATTGTGCTGCCATAAACATTGATGTGTGGCTATGTCACTGTAGTAGGCTGATTTTAAGTCCTCTGGGTATATGCTGAGGAGTGGGACCACTGGGTAAAATGGTGGTTCCATTCAAAGTTTTCAGAAGACTCTCCATACTGCTTTCCAGAGTGGTTGCACCAATTTGTAGTCCCACCAGCAATGTATGAGTGTGCCTTTTCCCCCACATCCTCGCCAACATTTATTGTCAAACCCTCCTTATTCTAAGAAATCTTCCCAAACTTCTTGTGAGGATAAATTTCTCACTCCCCTGTAACTTCTAGGTCACTAAGTTAGTTTCTACAATCAACTGCTATTTGCTGCTTATGCATCTTCAGCTCCCATTAGGTCACATATCTCTGGTGTCTGGTGTGTTATCGCCATCTCAGAATCCTAAAGAACCTAGGAAGATTTTCGTGTTCAATGTTTGTTAATTTTGAAGTAATGACAAGTTCACACCATGAACTGCCTACAAAGTGGGATGCCCTGTTGAGGCTTTTAGAATGCACTGTATATTTCTTACCATATTAGTGTCTTAAACAGTAATATATATTATATATATATATATCATATTTTCATATAAATATATATATATGTTGTAATGTTTTAATGAATATAGTTGTGCTTTCAACTGTGATCAGATATAACCTTCTCCAGGAAGTAGATTTTTTTAAAGATACCTTTATTTATTTATTGTTTTACATGGAGCTGAGGATTGAACCCAGGTACCCAAACGTGCTAGGTGAATGCTCTACCACTGAGCCCCTCCCCCAGCCCCAGGAAGCAGATTTTACCGATTCTTTTGATGGGAGGTAGGTGCCCCTCTGCTACCCTTTGGATATGAGGTTTCCCCCCAAAGCTCTTGTATTAATGCAGGAATGTTCCGAGATGAAATAACTGGATTATGACAGCCATGACCTAATCGGTCCTTTCTGATTTGAACAGACTAACTGGGTGGTGGTACTGTCACCAAAAGGGGTGTGACCCAGTTGTCCCACTCCTCCCTGTGACCCTGTCCCTTCCAGGAAGAGACCAACACTCCTGAACCAGGCCCTTCCCCCAGGACGTGCAGCGCCATGGAGTCGGCCATCTGTGGACTGAGACCTCTGAATCTCGAGCCTCGAATCAACTTCCCTTCCTTGAAGTTGTTCTTTCTGGGTACTGTGGTCACAGTGACCAAGACTGACTAAGACACCTTCCTACACCGAAACCGACTTCCTCATTCCTTCCTCCAAACTGCCAGTTCTCCTGGGGCAAATGCGCGATTCGCAGGACATGCTGACAAGTGCTAACTAAAATAATAAGAAATCAAAGGAGGGGACGGGATAGAGAATTTTTTTTTTTTTGGCAACAAATATTCCACTTAAAAATGGGGCAA